TGTGTGTGTGTGTGTGTGTGTGTGTGTGTGTGTGTGTGTGTGTGTGTATCAATGTATGGTTTCTATTGCAGCAGCTCCACAGTTGAGATTGAGCCAGCTAACATGATCTAAACAAGAATTATGTGAAGTCATGCTCTATGAAACTTTATACACATTTGCTGATCATTACCTAAGATTGCTTTGTGTTAACTTTGGCAGGCCCGCTCCTGGCTCTCGGATTGAAAAAGGGATGATGTATTTCCTCTTATTTATTATTTGCGCTGGGCTACTGAGAGGGAAAAAAAAAAGAGAGAGTGTGAGCAGTATGCCTGCGACTGGTCCATCGATGCCAGGAATAACAGAGTGAAACTTGCTCTTCAGCCTCATTAGTGTGTAGAAAACAGATCCCAGGAGACACAACGGAGCGTGAATGCATTTAAAACTCTTTACACTGCAGGATGCTACACGCCAACTTCTCCCTATTTCGTCTTTATCCTTTCTCCTTAAAATGAGAATGTACACGGCACAGAGTGCTGCAAGTGTGTAGGCTTCAAAAGAGTTGCAACCCCATGTTGCACGTCTCATAAATTCTAGTGAGGGAATTCAAAGAGAAATTTATCGAGCATGGCGTTCACACATGTTGACAGTAAAGAGGGCCAACTGCACACCGGGTCTTGGGAATTTGTAGGAGCACATGTCCTCTCCTTTTGCTTTGAAACACCTACTTTGACCCTTTGTCTGCTTTTGCAATGTGTTTGCCCTTTCCATTATGAAAAAAAGATAGGAAAATTTATATGAGACACAAAAGCCTATAGCAGTGTCCTATAAATTAGAAACGTCCAATATGCTGTTGTAAACATGGGGAGATTTATCCGTCGGTGTTACATGACCAAGACATGAGATACAGTATTTCATGGAGACTTCTTAAACCATTACCATCTGAAGCAGGTGCACTGTTATCCCAAAGAAGGCAATGTACTATAACATCATTTCCCAACATTTGTATATAATATGAACATGTCCCTGCCATCTGTTTCCACCCAGCGCTGCCTTTTCTTCAGTTGTTTGTACAGTAAGGGAGGTGTTTATGGTCTTTGGATGTTGCCAATTCCACTAGAGAGAGGACCTCAGAGCACCTATGGGACTCAGCACACAGGACCACGCTTTTGGCTCCATCGCCTATTGACACAGCTGCTATCATGATGAAATGATCCGATTCCAGGGGTGGTGAATATATCCGCGCACACTTACCTACTCGCACACAAAAAGCACTTGGAGACACGCACAACATGTTTGACTTTTCCTTTTAAATGTCATCAAGGGCTGCTCAGACACAGCTTGATATTGACTTTGGTGGAATAAGGAGCGCTCTTGGCCTTTGTTGTTGCTTGACTTATGGTGGTTCATTCAGAGGCTGCCTCACAGGATGCTACAAAGTGTGTGCTTCCTCGCTATCAGCTGCTGCTGTGATCGCCAGAACGGGTCTTAATCAAATCTCTGCCGGCCACATCAAAGATGCACAACACTGAGCCAATGAATAGGAGAATTTTTTTTTTTTTTAAATCATGTTTTCCTTTTATTTGGACAACTCTACTTTTCAAGTTTTTTTTTTTTTTTAATGATGTGCAGAGTCATCTGGATACTGTACAGCTCCTTGGCAGAGCTGTGTAGGTCCTGAGTGATGGAGAAAAGCTGAGAGCAGAGAGTGAGAAAGTAAATAAAAATCTGTATGATAATAAATTGCATCACTGGTAATTCTATCCAGTGCCGCTCTACAGTGCGCAGAACCCCCTTTATATGCGGGTGCCGGGGTGGGGGGGGAGATCTGCTGATAACATGGGGATTGATTGTAGGCCATTAAAGGAGCGTATGCTGGCCTGGAGGGGTGCGTTACATTTGGCCCCCACAACAGCACTGTATATCAGCATGTTGTCACCTGGGCTGATGTCACAGCAGGTCCTTTGGCTAAGAAAACACTCGCTCTGTCTTGGGTGGGTGACCGGCTCGGACTCACTCACTACCCACTAATGTGCTACTCGTGCCGAGCGGTGCGTCGTTTTGGGTTCACGGCCTCTCCAAATGTGATCCATAACCGGTTAGGCTTTGTGCGTGTGTAACTATAGAGACCCCTTCAACAAAACAAAATGATGTGGTTCAGCATGTGGACGGAGGAAAAAAAAAGGGAAACAAAGACGGCTTCAGGACCAAAGATTCCTGTAACAGTTCTGTTTTTATGAGTCGATGGGGAGGCTGTGAAGTTGCACGACAACATTAAAACAAAAAAAACAACACGTTTTATTTCGACAATCAGGGCATTGTGGAGAGCTCATGGCCTGGCTTTCTCTACCTCACCATGGGGTGAGTAACTTGTGTTGTTTGCACTCAGCCTCGTGACTCTCACTGGGACACTTAAGTGCACTTGTTCATTTCATACACTTCGCACGAAGGACCTTGAATCAATTTGACAACCGTATTCGGGGAGGGCTATTTGTCCCTTGGTGCAGCCATCACCTCTCCCTGTGAACAGGGTCACTCCTGTTTATCTGTTCATGATGTCTTTCGTGCCACCGCCCTCTCCCCACTCTGTTGGGAACCTTGTGTTAATTCTGGGATGTGAAAGCAGCAACCGGCTTGTCGTTACAGAATCATGGTTCTTTTTGGATTTAAGTTTGTTTAATCAAAGGGAAATGTTAATTCACAGCACCAGTTGGGTGTGATTCATGGTGAATAACTGTTTTTTCCTTTCATATTTGTGTTCTCCTTTCATCTTTGATGGACCTGGTGTAAAGCTGGATGCTGCTTTGATATCTGCAATAACACACCGCACATACAACTCCTCATTTGGATGCACAGCACTGAGGGAAAGAGGACTTGCACCATTCGATAACATGCCCCGGGAAGAATTTCATTGCTGCATTGCACGACTGTCTACAGTGCAGCCGGAGAGAGAATATCAACGGGAACTAAAACGATGTCATTCTCACTTTTTTGCTCGTGTCTTAATTATGTGTGAATGACTTTAAACTGAAGGTTTCAGTGACTTTATGTATTGTGAATACAGACAATGAATGAGGCTTTATTCATGGGCTCTAGCAGTGGTAATCTAACTTTCACCTTGAAATTAACTTCATACACTGTCGAATTACTTTCCTGTGTTATGTGAGCAAATGGTGATAACATGAACCCTGACACCATGATGACCAAGTTTTAAAGTGTGGTATTAATCATGTTTTTAAGCATTTACTTCATGGGTTTCATCATAATCGTACAAAATGCAATCAGCAACTTTGTATCCACCCAATACTACCTTATAAATTCAACAACATGCCCCAAGAATTGCTACAAATGTTTTAATGAAGAAAATGAATTCAGGAAAGCCTAAATTCAAATATAACATTATTATATATTGATTTATTATTATATTTTAAATGATTGTTGTTTAATGAATCCAAAACATTATTTATAGAGTACATTTCTTATACAAAGGGCAACTAAATGTGCGAGGTAAGTGCATTAACAAATATGTGATAACTAGTCACAGAATTAGTAAAAGGAAAAAAAAAAACAGAAGTGTGTGTCAGTGTGTCTCTGAAAATTCAAGATAATGAGAAAAAAACATTAATGTAAATAATTTAAATAAACATATTCTATATCATGAAGGTATAGGCCAGTTGAAATGTTAAAAATCATAATTATGTGGCATGCTGAGCTAAGAAGGCTCTTATTCTGTGGAGAAGCTCTTTCTTGACGCTGTCCGGCACCAAAGCTGCAAGAGAGAGCGAGAGAGAGAGAGAGACTATCCATGACTGTGCCTTACTCTTTCAAACAGACAACAGGGTACTACAAAATGTATGTCTATGCTCACATCTACATCCTGTCCTGCTACCAACACTCTAGATAGAAGTGCTGGTAGCAGGAGAAATGAGCTCAAGTGAAACTACCTCTTCCTTTAGGAGTGATCTCTACCACCAGGTCCTCCACAGTGACATGCTCCAAGCCTTTGTCTTTGATCACTTCTGCGAAAAGAAAAATAGGTTCATAGTTTTACACAAAGTGCTCAAAGCAGTTGTGCAGTATAATACGAGTTGCATAGTTACAACAGTCCGATACGCATGCACTGTATTTATCCTAAATTGTGTTCATTCTTAAAGCTCTTGACGTTCTGCTGCAATTTGGAGGATGTGCTTTGCTCACTGCAGGTAGAGCTGATTCATGTTTTAATGAAGATGTACTTTTTACAGTGTAAGATTTTGATACAACTGAACTTTTATCTCTGCAACATGCGCAGGGACTACGAATGAAAATGAGCTTTTACCTATATCCGGTACAATTTATGTATTATGCATTGTTCCTGCTAAATTAACAATAAATAAATACATTTAAGCTCTCTAAATATGTATGACCTAAAAGTTATATCATAAATAAAACTGGGCCTTTAAAGTGGGAATATAAGATTCACAAGGGAGTGGGTGGATGACGGCATCTTACACTCAATCCATGCTTTGTGTTTTAACATCGGTGCTGTCATTTTTACCTTTGCAGTGAGCTTTCATCTGGTCCTTCCAGCCACACTCAGTGAGCTTAGCCCTCAGTAACTCCTTCAGTCTGTCGATAAGATGCAAAACGTGTCATTTTTCAATTAATTTTGTTTCGCCCCAAATCACAAATTTGCCTCAGAGGGCTTTGCAATCTGTAAAACATACAAATTACAGTAAGGCCAGGCACCTTTTCTGTTTTATGCGAATTAGGTAATTAATAACAGCTGACAACTTCCTTATCTTGATCACAACATTGGCCGTTTCAGCCCTGTTGTTACTACTATTCATGTTATGTAGAGTGACACTTCTCTGCGTTGCCAGAAACATGAATACGTGAAGGAGCAGCCGGTTTATTTGAAGCTTGAGGGGCCACATCAGTTCAGTATCAATAACATAAGTAAGTTCCTCTCCTGTTGGACATTTAACAGGTACTTCTCTAATACAGCTGGCAACCTCTCCCTCTTAACCCACATGTTATGTTATGCCATTTAGCTTTACTTTCACCAGCACATGGTCACAATGTTGACACAGACTGATACAGGATGAAAGGGGGACAATGATACGCTACAATAACCTCCACAGCTAGCGTTACTTAGCTGACGTTGATAAAGAATACAGCCTGAACGTAACAAGGAACGTACGTACGTTACTTTTTAGACCAAGATGAATGCAGTATTTTCTCTTACCTCTCTCGTTCCCCCATCTCTGTCAGCTTCTGGTTCACCGTTGCTCTCATTCTGGACTCTTTGCTCATAGTCTTCCCCCTAACGTTACAGGGACAAAAGAATAACATAGCATGAGAAAGCCTAAGGCAAATGTATTGACTTCATGTTAAACCACTCTAGACAACGTTTACCACGCCGAGCAGCTAACGTTAACTTCCGTTCGTTTCGTTAAGTCAGTAGTCGACTAGGCTTCACATGCTAAGTGGGAAGATTCAGGTAACAATATGTACTTACACGCTAGAGACGAATAGATAGAAGCGGTCCCACTCTTCGGTGTTACCGCAACCTTGCCAGACTCTGTGGCGTACATGAGAAAGTCAACATGAAATAACGTTAACTGCCCCTGAGAACACAACAGGCATATTAAGAACTACTATCTAAGAACGCGACAGCCGCTATGAGCTAAACTATGCCTTTAATTTACGTGTCAAGGTAATTTAGCTTCACACTTTTATTTGATATGTCTCTGAGGAAAAGAGTGTTTTGATTTCACAGGTTTTACCATCAGATATTACGTTCCGAGCAGAAACACTGATCTGAACAATGGTTCCTACACCTTCATTAAATGCAATACTCTGTTACACCGCAAAGCGGCAGTGTTGGTTAACGGATTTAATCAAAGTCAGTTCTGTAGGAGACTTTGACCTCTCGCCTCCCTTCAGGGGATAATATTAGCTTTTCACATGACCACATTGGCTCAGTTCCTCTTGGTATTTTTTGCATCAGTACAGCGTATAAAAACAATAATCTTCTCTGATTCAGCAACAGTTTTAAGAGGTTTGTCATCAAGGCAAACGGTCAAAGAAGATCTCACAGAAGAAATTAACGCCACACTATTAAGATGACAAAGGAAGAAGTGAGGTTTTGTTAGATTCCTGCTCACATGAGTGTTAAAGGTAAGGAACAAGCAGATAGATTGGCAAATAATGCTCTTAAAGTATATGAGAACAAAATGACTAGCTAATGGTACTGAAGGGGTAAAATCATGAATTAGATCAACCAGAATTAATGCTTGGCAGAAGAAATGGGACACAGGCAACAAAGGGCAACATTATTATAATATACAAAAGTCAGTTAAGGTTAAACAGTATAAAGGAATATATCGACAACATGTCTAAGGTTCTTGCATGCAGGTAAACATCCATGGTATTTATCACGTGTTGCAATCACTATAATTCAGAGAGGGACACACGCATGAATATAGTACATCGGACAGTGCAGGAGAGTTTGAAGTTATTACTGAGCACAGGGAAATCAGAAGGGGTTTGGTAAGTTAGGCTGCATTTTACAGGCATGATTAGGAAATGGGGTGTCATTTATTTGTTTCTCTTTCTTTCTTTCTTTCTCTCTTTCTCAGTTTTAGGTAATACAATGCCGATTCAACACACTCCGATACAGCAGGTGGCAGTATTCAATTCAATTTATTTTATATAGCCCAAAATTGCAAATCACAAATTTGCCTCAGAGGGCTTTACAATCTGTACACAGACAACATCCTCTGTCCCGGGACCGTCACATCGGTACAGGAAAATCTCCCCCCAAAAAATCCTTTAACTGGGAGAAAAAAAAAAAGGAAGACACCTGATATGGAGAGCAACAGAGGAGGGATCCCTCTCCCAGGATGGACAGAAGTGCAATAGATGTAAAGTATGAACATAACAAAGTTACAACACATTCAATGCATATGACAGAAATTATTCATATAATGAGAGCAGTAAGCAGAATAATGAAGGAAAAGTTACGACTAATAATAACAGCAGCAGGGGATATAGTAGAATAAAATAATAATAAAAGGTAATGTATCGGTAATAGTAATAGAAATGCGACTCATGATAATGATAATAGCAGTAGGTGTCAGGCAGGACCACAGTCCAGATATAACCACGATCCATGGAAACCTGTGAGGCGGGAAAGCACAAAGACTCCGTGGAAGAAGCAAAGTTAGTAATGTGCATTAATGAATTCATACAGGAGGAGAGAGAAGAGGAGAGAGGAGGAGCTCAGTGTATCCTAGGAAGTCCCCCGGCAGTCTAGGCCTACAGCAGCATATCTAGGGGCTGGACTAAGGCAAACCTGAGCCAGTGCTAAGCACTATCAAAGAGGAAAGTCTTAAGCCTATACTATGTGGTGAGTGTGTCTGCCCCTGGACTGAAACTGGAAGCTGGTTCCACAGAAGAGCTTGATAACTGAAGGCTCTGGCTCCCATCCTACTTTTTAAGACTCTAGGAACCACAAGTAACTCCGCATTTAGGAAGCACAGCTCTCTCGTGGGGTAATATGGTACAATAAGCTCCTTAAGATATGATGGTGCCTGACCAATTAGGGCTTTGTAGGCGAGGAGAAGGATTTCGAATTCTGTCCTTGATTTTACAGGGAGCGTGTGGTTGCACACTTGAATAAAGATTCAGTATAATTTATTGTTTTCTCTCTTTACTTGCCATGACATTCTACAGAATACAGCAGGAATAAACAGCTAACTTTCCCTGCATCTCTTTAACACCCAGACGCTACGCTACATGTGTGTCCACCTTTTAGCCATTTTAAGTTTATGTTTGACATTTTAAACGTTTCTGTGCAGCCTTTTAGCTGTGTGTGATTATTTGCATGTACCTTATTACTTCTAAACATATTTATTTCTTTAAACATATCTTAATATCTACTAGCGTTTAATAAAGTACATTTCAGCTTTTCCTTTTCAATTCTTGTGAGAAACTGCTTCTATAATCGTTTGTTGTGACAAATTCCAAACTGCTTGAAAAGTCCATCATGGAGGTACTTAAGGACAAAACATATGGTTATTGCAATATTTCAAAATATTATACCACTTTCTTAAACCAGCCTCCAAATGTAATTTATTTCATTTGAATCATGGGCTGAAGTGTTGGCAAACGGTCAAAGCATGACTTGTGAAGAAAGTCATCCCAGTTTACCTTGACTTTTGTTCTTGTCTTGTTCTTTAACTGTGTTTAACTTATCATATGTGATACAACTGCAAAATGTGTTTTTTTTTTTTTTTTTTGACCATATAATCCTGGGAGTGCTTGTTGGCACAGTAAACTGAAATTGTCCATTTCGCCCATCTCTGAGCTTATTGTTTTGAGACAATTTGTTGACCAAAATGGAACAAAATGTTGTCAGTTTTTGTTAAGGAAGTTAAGTATTTATTTAGATATTGTCTCTCTAATGTACCACAGTGCCTATATACTGTATTCACATTTACAAATTGAGTGGTGCAAGTAGATCTCTGGGCCAAGAGTCCTGTGGCATCTCTGAAGCACATACAGGGTTCCAAGGCTTCCATAAGAAAGACAGCTGCTGTCTACAACAGCTCTGGAAGCTGTTCTCAGAAAGTTATGTGAAGCAATAAACTGGAAGGAGGAGGTCTGAGAGAGCGAAAGGAAGCTTTTTGAGTCTACCTGCCTCAGTATATCTAAGCTCCTTAAACCCCACGCAGCACTAAAATCTCACCACCTCAACCATGAAGCATGTAGTGGCAGACTTCATGCTGCTGTGGGGATGCTTCAGACCCTGGAGGGCTTATGACCGTCATGCTTTCCAACAAAACAAGAATGCAAGACAGAGCTACATGGCTGGTAAACAACAATGTTGATGTCGTGGAGAGGCCACACCAGAGTTCAGATGGGGTTTGTTTATTCACAGACTGCATGCAATCGGCAGAGCTCACAGCAGAAAACTAAGATGAATAGCTTGTTTGTTCCTCCTAAACCACCAGGAGTGGTGATCTGTATCCTAATACTGCACTAACACAGGTCATGCGTCTGCTTCAACAATGTCACCTATGACCCGGTTGACCTTTTTGACATTTGAATGTCGACACTGTCGCTCACCAGTGAGGGGAGCTCTGATGCAAAAGGTAGGCTACTCATTCGGTCAATGGCACTGAATATTCTGCTCATTCGGATTGAGAATACGCCGTTAAACATTTGTGCATGCATGTATTGAACATGTCTGTCTGAGACAGCAATGTCCCAAAATGTTTGGATCCCCTTCTATCAAGTCAGATTTGGAATAAAAGATTCTGCTGAAGGTTAAAGAAAGTGTATGTGGACTTTCGGAGCATGATATAAGCATGTGCCTACAAATGACAGGCTGTTATTATACTCACTGGTTTCGAGTAAATGTATCATTCAACCTTGTCTTCTGTTGCTTGTCTTGACTTTAACTGTCTGGCAAAGAAATGCCAAAACATCTTTGTCTTTCATCTGTTGAATAAGTGAAGACTTTATTTAATCTTCCACGCATCTTTTTTAAGTGACCCGTTAAAATGTTCTGCTACTTTTTTTTATCTTGCTTTAATACTGCGCCAACGGGCAAATCATCACACATTAATGTATATCATTTAAATTTCATCATCATTTGCAAGCAATCTCTCCATTTTTCCTACGCAGTTATATCTTCTCGACCTCAAACCTCTTTGCTTGTCAAGTCCTCTTCATCCTGTCGGGCGTCTTTGAGGTTATCAGAATATTCTCTGCTGTCTTGGCGGTGCTGAGTCTCTCGGATCACAAGTGGGTTTAGCTTTATTAATGTAAAAAGCCTGCAGAAGCAGCTCCAGAGAGCAGATATGAAAGACTATACTTTTAAGATACAAGCATGATATATTTAAACATATAATCAAACAACTGACTAAAACTATTGCACAGACCTGGGCATTTTACGGCTCCCGGGCCATACCCGGGCCATGGACTTCTAAGTATTTATTTACTGAAGTCAAAGGTTAAGCCGTGTGCTTAATTTGTGAAGAACAGATCGCAGTGTTTAAGGATGACAATTTGATTCTCCATTAGGAGACAAAACAGACGGAGAAATACAAAAACTTGACTGATGCAGAGCGGGCACGGACCTCTGAGGCAGCTAAGCTGCAAAAGCAACATGCTCAGAAGATGTTGGTTCTCTTTGGCTCTATCTACACATGTGAACAAACATTCTCTGTGATAAGGTTTAACAAATACAGATACAGAACCTCTCTCACTGACGATCACCTGTCAGCTGTCCATCCCATCTCCACCTCACCCAGGTGACAAAGATCGGCCCGATCCATGAGAAGGATCATATGCAAAAGGAGATTTGTGAAAGCCAAGCTGGATCCAGCTCAGGCCAAACACACCAGGGAAACAGACTACCTGAAGTCCCAGGTGATAAAGACCTGCACAATGCCGCGGATAACTAAGAGACATCTTGACCAGCAGAGCTCTAAAACCAACAACCTTCAAGTCAAATTGGAGAAGATGAAGGCGGACAAAGAGGGCCATCAAAAAGAGGTGGATGCAATCCAGTCAGAGCTTTGTGCTGAAAAGGACTCTGGTGCCGTGGTTGTATATAACCTAGAGACCACCATTCACTTCCTGAGGCTGCAGGTTAAAGACACCACAGTGTGTGAGGCTCACTCAAAAGAGTTAGAGAGCTCTCTTAAGTTTCAGACGGTTGAAGCTAGGAAGCTGAAAATACAACTGAGCAAGATAGACGACGCTCTCCACAAAGTAAAAG